GTCTTCAGACACAATTGTGCTTTTTGGAGATGCAATATGAGAACAGCGAGGACGTAAAAATTTGCCTTTTGTGAATCACCACAAAATTAATTTTGGATCTTGCAGTTTTTCTTCCTGATTATGGGTATTGTGACATATTCAGATGGGGTCATATGGGGACATATTCAGATGGGACATATTCAGTTTGGTGACAGATTCAGATGGGGACGGATCCAGATGGGGACATATTCAGATGGAGAAATATGCAGACTTTGCAGATTCAGATGATGACAAATTCATATCCGTCATTGTGAAACCTCGTCCACTTTTAAAAAGTCCCTTATAACCCATCTGTTTAGGTCCGCCTATGACCTGTGATGCACCCTCCTTGCCCTGCCTCATTTTCTGTCTCGGGTTAATCCTGTAATATAGGCCAAAACGTTCCAAAGTGTCCTCGTTTTATAGTAGTTACTATCCTAATGTCTCATTTTTATTGTAGTTAGTTTACATGTTTTTAATAATTGTAAAGCGCTTATAGCTTTAAGATAAGCGCTATATAAAAATGCCTAAATAAATAAATAAATATGGGACAGATATAGAACGGGAAATATTCAGATGTGACAGAATCAGGTGGTATATGATGTATATGGTGGCAGATTCAGATGGTGACAGATCCAAGTGGGGACAGATCCACGAGGGGACAGATCCAGATGAGGCAGATACAGATGGGGCAGATCCAGATATGGGACATATTAAGATGGTATATGGTTTAGATGATGACAGATTCAGAAGGTATATAGTTTAGACGATGACCGATTCAGATGGTCTATTGCTTAGATGATGATAAAGTTAGAAGGTATATGTTTTAGATGATTACATATTCAGAAGATATATGGTTTAGATAACGATAGATTCAGATGGTATATGGTTCAGACGATGACAGGTTCAGATGGTATTTAGTTCAGATGATGACATATTAAGAATGGTAATGGTTTAGATGATGATAGGATCAGATGTTATTTATTCAGATGGTGATATATTCAGATGGTAAAAGGTTCAAATGATGACATATTCAGAAGGTATATTATTTAGATGGGGACATATTCAGAAATTATATGGTTCAGAGTTCAGAGGATGACATATTCAGAAGTTATATGGTTCAGAGTTCAGAGGATGACATATTCAGAAGTTGTATGGTTCAGGTATTGACAGGTTTAGTTATGTATATGGTTTAGATGGTGACAGATTCAGATGGTATATGATTCATGTGTCGACACATTCAGATGGTATATGGTTCAAGTGTAAATATATACCTTTTTTTTTTGACTTACCGAAAAGTTTTACTTCGCTGAGGGGAGATAGTCCTTTTGTATCCATGTGCGGTTGTCTCCCCGGAAAAATCATGCAGAACTGAAGCTGTTTTCGTCTTCAAGTTCAGCCAGACGCTTTGCGCGTCTTCTGCGGGAACCCCCACAGCTGCATCCGTCAGGATGAAGGAGTTCTCAGAACTGACCCTTCCGAACTTCCTCTTTCTACGGTAATTTCGATATCGCCCTTGAAGAGCGCAGAGGCCGTCGAAGAATCGGCGCGTAACTTTCGAATGCTGACGGCGCATCTTCTGTCCAAAAAAACGTGTTTTGCTTGAGCCGGTGCTGTATTCTGGGTAGTGGAACCACGTTGGAACTTTGGCGTTGACGTCATGGATGTCGATGAACGGGTTTTCCCCTTGACACTTTTCTGAAGGGTGCGTCCCGTTTAGAGCATGATGGGACTGGTTCGTTTCATCATGGGACTCCTTGCTCATTTTGATTTCATCCACCAGGCAATGCGATGCCGGAAGTCTGAAAATCTCCATCGACGCCTTACGAGGGCGCAGGCTCTGATATTGGAGCATATTTGCTTTCCAACTAACACTTTCCCACAAATTGTCTTCACGATTTTTTAAAGATCAACTTTTGAAAAAAAAAAATCCAAACGCGCAGAAAAAGATGACCACAATTCAATCCAATATATTTTATAATGTTATCAATTATTTTAATTTTTTTTTAAAAAGAAAGAAATTCTTTGTTATGATAAATAGTTCTATGAATAGTCAAACCCCGATACTGTTTGTGTTCTCAAGACCTCCTTGCTGTGGAAGGTATCACCGGTTGTTTGAATGTTTTACTTAGACGCTTCAATTATGTTTTGGACTTGACACCATCCACCTACTTGCACTATTTACCTTTTTTTTTTTAAATCATTCTGGTGCAGTGATTCTCAGTTCTTATATACATATCACAAAGCAGTGGGGTAACATATTATTTTTGATTGCTTCCAACCAGACGTGGCCATAACATAAAAGTTAAAAGTCCCGCACCCCTCCCCCCCACTGACGCCCTCTGAACCAGGCGCCCCACCAGCTGACCATCAAATGTGTTATTATATTGGGGAAAAACCATAAGTGTGGTCACGATATTTTTTAAAATCGATTTTGGACCTCCCGTCCCCCACCCCAATCATCAAAAATGTCTCACAATAATAATGAAGTCACCCTCATAATCAGGGGCGTAGGGATGCGGCGGGGTGGGGGGGGGGTCGTTTCACCCGGAGTGGCACTTTTTTCTTTATATGACGACATTGTCGGCCGACAATAGAGGGGTTTTTATATTGTCGTTTATCCGGAGCTGTTGACCTATTATCCCAATTTTTGTCGTATGCCGGATACATTATCATACCCCTCTGAATCGTCATCGAACGTAGCTCTTGACATATTATCCGTATTTGTTGTCAAATGCCCGGATATATTGTCATTCGCCCAGTGAATGGTCATCCAGCGTAGCGTTTGACATTTTGTCCGTATTTGTTGTCGCATGACCTGATGTCTTGTCATACTTGCTGTGAATCAACAAAACATCAAACGAAGCTGCTGACTTGTGTTTCGGAGCTGCTGATTTGTTTTTCGGAGCTGCTGACTTGTGTTTCGGAGCTGCTGACTTGTGTTTCGGAGCTGTGGACTTGTGTTTCGGAGCTGTTGACTTGTGTTTCGGAGCTGTTGTCATTTATCCGGAGTTTTTACCCGTGTATGGGTATTCCATGTCAATTATCCGGAGATGTTCGTCCCAGTCGCAAGCTGAACACCTCCTACCCGGCAGCTGTGTGTGTAGTGTAGAAACCGCCACCCCTTCCCCCCTCCTTCATGGGTTCGAATCGAAGTTAATTACATGGATCACGTCAACTCACACCCTGATCACACAGTCACCTGACTGCAACACAGTCACCTGAGTGCACCTTTAGACAGCAGCCGTAGTTTGTAAACAAAAAGTTAGTTTTTTTGTGGTTTTTTTCATTTGTAGAGTTCATTCAATTTTCAAAAAATGTATTGAATAACATTTGGTGTGGTTAGGGCATACTCTCCGAACCTTCCCCCCCCCCCTCCAGATAGCATCAACAGACAGTCTCTAGCATGGAGTCCACAAGGAAAAAGAAAGAGAGAAAGGCCAAAGAATACAATAGAGACACGAGCTAGAGGCAAAATATGGGATACACCTGGAAGCAACTGGAAAGGAAAGCACAGGACCGTGATGGGTGGAAAATTCTTGTGGACGGCCTATGCCCAAGACGGGGTAAAGAGGCAAAAGAGAAGTGTGAGAGAGAGAGAGAGAGAGAGAGAATGATGAATGTTGATCAAACTATTTTGTAGTTGAATGTCTTGATACATCAATAGAATTATCATGACCAGAGGTTAAAAATGATTTTTTTAAAATTTGTAAAAAATATACCTTAAATTAAATTATATAGAACAAAATTTCTTGTCATTTCCATTGTTCACGCTTAATGAGTGGCGTAGGCAAAGAGATGCGGAGGAGGGAGTCCTCCCCAGGCGGCACTTTTTGTCTCCATTTGGAGGGGCGCGTATTTTCGGCTAACTGCAGCAGTTTGTTTGTTTTTCTTTTCGTTGAAGGGTGGCGGCAACGTTATTTGGCCGCCCCGGGACAGCACTCACCCTGACTACGTCAATGTAGTTAGGAGCGTCATAGAGAATGAATGTCGCATCGGCAGTTTGGTTTAAGCTCATAGCAAAACTGAACTTACGGCCACCGCATCACTGGAAGACGTCATGCCGGTGTTGGATCCGCCCTCCCCTAGTGTCACAAATGTGCCACACAATTTAGACATCCCTCATGGTTCATCGCCACCATATTTGTCACACTGTTAAGACACCCTCATAGCAACACTAATTAAACGACCAGGTCCTCCTTTGGTTGATATCGACCCGCTCTGCTTGGTCAGTCGAGTGGATGACGGGTAGGGATGTGTCATTTGGCGGAGTACCTCCAGCGTGGCGCTTCGCGGCCTAAAGATTACGCGATTAGGGTTGGAAAAGGGGGTGGGGGGCTCGACGGTCTGCTGTTTTTCTCAAGAGATTAGATTAGGCATCCTCATTATACATTGTCACAAATTTATCACAATTTTGTCACGTATAACGCTTCTAAAACATGACCAATGAAGGGTTCATCGTTCACTGCCGTAATGGTGTTAGAATTTAAACACATTCCCGTATGAAGCTTTAGATAAACAAAGTCAACTCTTAGGAATGATGTTTATCTTGTGATCATTTCAGTTTATGAACTGTGAGTATTTTTGTTTCGTCACATTGAAGTAGATACAATACAAAGGTATAGTCATATTTAAATAACTATAGCCATATTTGGTTTTATACGGAGCCATGTTTAGTTAGGTCTAGCCATATTTAGGATTAGTCATATTTAGGTTTAGCCATATTCAGGTTTAGACGTATTTGGGGTATAGGGGTATCTAGGTGTGTCCATATCTAGGTACATCCTTAATAAGGTATTTATCCATATTTAGATGTAGTCGTGTTTAGGTCTTAAGGTATTTAGGTTAATGCCTTTCTTGGTATAGCTTTATTTAGTCTTAGCCGTATTTTGATTTGGGTACGTTCGGGCACTGACTCCGAGCTTTGCTACTCAAACTTTAAAAAAAAACACAGAGCAAAACCAAAAACGAAACAAAAAGTGTTAGTTGAGTGGTAGAGATTTTCTTTAATTTCTGGTAATATCAAACATTCCATTTGTTAGTCGTTCATATATACACACACGATCAAGAAAATTTGACAACAGCCATAGCCACAATATTAATCGTAATAAACCACGAATAAGCAATGGTTCATCCAATTTATTTGTGTTTTATATCAAAGAGGAAATTCCTAAAACACCACTGTCTATTCTTGTGGGTATATTCAGTACAAAAAAAAAAAAAATCAAAACTTGTGGTAGCGGGCCTGGGACACGTGAATGCTAACGGGACCAGGCCCAAAGCAATGGTTCAACTAATTTATTTGTGTTTTAAATCAAAAAGAAAATTCCTAAAACACCACTGTCTATTCTTGTGGGTAAATTAAGTACAAAAAAAAAAAAAAAATCAAAACTTGTGGTAGCGGGCCTGTGACACTTGAATGCTAACGGGACCAGGCCTGTGACACTTGAATGCTAACGGGACCAGGCCCTGTGACACTTGAATGCTAACGGGACCGGGCATGTGGCACTTGAATGCTAACGGGACGGGGTCAAACAATGGCCTGCAGCCATTTTGGAATGTTCAGAGCCGTGAGCCTGATTAGTGTAACACTTCATTTGTTTCCCCATGTCCTTCCTCAAACCAACTTGACAAATCACACGGGGCAAATACGGGCATTCAAACAACAACGAAAGAACACAGTGTAACGTATTTGGTTATTCTCCGTAAAACTTATGAATAAAAAACTGTTCAAAGTATGATCCTAAATGTCAATTCTTTTTATGATTAATTTGTTCTCTGTTAGCAAATTATAGCTAATTGTTTCGCTCTACATTTCACAGTCAACAATTCCACAGAATTGATTTTTTTCTCCCAAATTTCATTAATTATTTTCTTTCATTTTTGAGACCAGACATTCAAAATCATTCGATTAAAAAAAATAATAATTTAAAAACAATATAGTGATCCCTTGTTCCATCTGTGGTGATTAATTCATCACGTGACCAGCGTGGTTCATCGTTGTGGTGGTCGTAGGGGTTGTTGCGCCCCCGGGGTTGGTCACTCCTGGGTTCGTGGTGCTGCAGGAACTCGGGCACGGGTTCGCGTATCCCGATGCGCCTGCGCAGGCTTGGTCTATCGTCAGTTCCGGTGTCGTGTCGGCGGAGCCCATGACCTCGTACTCGTCCATGGAGGACGCAATCTGACCTAGTTTGACGGATCCGTAGAGCACCTGGGATTTCGATATTGAGATGGGTCAGAATTAAGGCATACTCGTGTGTAATTTAAGTAGATGCCCTTTTAAAAGTAGCTGTTTTGTTGTGGTTGTTGTTTTGTTGTTGTTGTTTGCGTCAGGTGTTCCAAGTTGATGGTGTCAAATGTACTTTTTTTTTTAGAAACTGAATATTATAGAAATATGCGGCACTCAGAGCCATATGCGGCACCCACCCAGAGCCATATGCAGCACTCAGAGCCATGTGCAGCACTCAGAGCCATATGCAGCATCAGGACCATGTGCAACACTCAGAGCCATATGCAGCACTTAGAGCCATATGCAGCATCCTGAGCCATATGCAGCACTTAGAGCCATATGCAGCACTCAGAGCCATATGCAACACCCAGAGCCATTTGTAGCACATTGTCTTGTTAGCTGCGGCTCTGATTGGACAAGCAAGTTTTTTTTTTTTAATTTCTCTAATAGTTTTATAAAACTGTGCCACTGAAATTGCATTGCAAAATTCTTTTTGTAGAATTTAAAAGCAAACCCGCAGAGTTATCCCTCTACTTAGTATTAATTTCTGAAAGATACAATTGAATATATTTAATTTTGTGTCCTAAAAATATTGAGTTGTTCCATAAAAAAATAATAATGAAGTATTGCTAACGGCTCCATTTTTTTATCTTGTGCTTGTCCACCCCAGATACATAATGTCCACTAATATATAATGTCCACTAATATACAATGTCCACTAATATACAATGTCCACTAATATAAATGTCCACTAATATATAATGTCCACTAATATACAATATCCACTAATATATAATATCCACTAATATACAATGTCCACTAATATACAATGTCCACTAATATACACTGTCCACTAATATATAATGTCCACTAATATTTAAAATCCACTAATATATTATGGCCACTATCCAAAAGTAAGAAGAAGGTGTGTGGCTCTGCTCGGTGTGTTCATTCAATGCCCTTTCAATGCTCTTTCAATGCCCTTTCAATGCCCTTTCAATGCCCTTTCAATGCAATTTCAATGCCCTTTCAATACAATTTCAATGCCCAATGCCCTTTCAATGCTCTTTAAATGCTCTTTCAATGCCCTTTTAATGCCCTTTCAATGCTTACCGCCCTTGTGAACGGGTCTTGCACAATGCTGAACTGCGTCAGGCCTGCCAGCTTGAGGTTCAGGTAGTTCATGAACTTGCCCAAGTTGAACTTACATCTGGGGGTGAAGGCGAATCAGACCCAAATAAACTTACAAGGATACAAATCACCAATACAATGAAAGTCTGGGGGCGGATTTCCCCCCCCCCCCACTTATCTAATTTTTTTTTTTTAATGTTTAAGTACTATCTGTAAAAAGTCTTTCTGCAAATACAGACAGGGAAATATACATCACACGGAAAAGTATGTTCGAAGGGTTTGAGGTATAGGGCCAAGGAACTAACAATAGTAACGTATCGACACACGGACGCACATATTGATTGATTGGATGTTTCTATAGCGCCGGTATCCATGCCACTTTAGCATGCTCACTGCGCTCTGGTTTTCTTAAATCTATTTAAACAAAAAGTTTTTAAAATGTTTCTTAAATGATTTTTTTTTCATTTTCAATTCCCCTCAAAGATTGAGGCAATCTGTTCCATAATTTTGGCGCTATCGCTTCAAAAGAGCGCACTCCTTAAGACTTTTTTCTGTGGTTCACCCACATATAACGGTACATTAAAATTTTAAAAAAAAAAAAAGACAGTAAAGAAAATAACACACGTCCATCACAGCCTTCAAAACTGCCCTCAAGACCCATCTCTTCAAACTCTACTAGTCTATACCGATTCTTTCTAAACCACTCCCGTCTGACTGATAAACAACGCTCGATTCTGCTGGGTGTTGTCCATGGCTAGACAGGGGTATAGACAGTACTTGGGTGGGGGAGGTCAAGCTTTTCACCAATTTTTGTATTTAAATGTAACTGCTAATTTGTATGTGATGTGCAGTGGACCTAGCCCTAGGCTGGGGTACTGCGCTATATAAAACCACCTAATAAAAAAATAATAACGTTTACGTTGAATTAAAAAAAAATTATCATGTCGTATCGTCGGGATATTCAAATTGCGTCCTAAAATAATGCTTTAAAAACTTTCATTTTTTGATGTTTTATTAAGGGGATTTCGCAACTACACCTAAGGAAGTGGTCAGCTCGGTAGCACCTTTATAATTTTATCATTCGGTCGGTAGCACCGATATAGTTTTACCATTCGTCCGGTAGCACCAATATAGTTTTACCATTCGGCCGGTAGGACCAATATAGTTTACCATTCGGTCGGTTATACCGATATAGTTTTACCTTTCGGCCGGTAGCACCGATATAGTTTTACCTTTCGGCCGGTATCACCGATATAGTCTTACCATTCGGCCGGCAGGGCCGATATAGTTTTACCATTCGGCCGTCAATGCTGTCCACTAGAACCGTTCTTTGAAATACCACTCCGGCTATTTATGTTTAGTATAATATGTATAAGACAAATATGTGTTACTACGAAATTGCATAAACGCTGGAGGTTTTTTTTTGTTTTTTTGTTGTTTTTTGTTGTTTTTTTTTTTTTTTTTTTTTTCCTTTGGTTGGTTTTTTTTTTTTTTGTTTTTTTTTTTTTTTTTTTTTTTTTTTTTTTTTTTTTTTTTGTACCTTAGGTTGGTCTTTGAATCACATCCAGGGCCCGTGTATGACCACAGGGCGGCGGGGTCCACCTTGGAGGGCTGCCTCAGCAGCAGGAACAGGAGGTCTCGTGTCTCGGTGGCATTTCTGGGCAATGGGGGCATGTAGTTCAAGGCCGTGTCTCCCATGGACACGTCGTCTCCCGGGATGTTCACCACCTGCGTGTTAAGGGGGATACATTAACGTGGTTTGAGAACCTGCCTGTCAAGGGAAGGAGACACTGAACATAGCTTGATAACCGATGAATTCATTGAACGAGACATTAATCGCATTCTGCTTAGTTGGCGGATGTAGTTAATCCAAGCATACCGACGGTCGATGTGTGTGTGTGTCGCTGTGTTTGTTTGTGTTTGTTTGTGTTTGTTTGTGTTTGTTTGTGTTTGTTTGTGTGTGTGTGTGTGGTGTGTGTGTGTGTGTGTGTGTGTGTGTGTGTGTGTGTGTGTGTGTGTGTGTGTGTGTGTGTGTGTGTGTGTGTTTTTGTGTGTGTGTGTGTGTGTGTGTGGTGTGTGTGTGTGTGTGTGTGTGTGTGTGTGTGTGTGTGTGTGTGTGTGTGTGTGTGTGTGTGTGTGTGTGTGTTAATGCACGTGTAATTCGGTGGATGACTGAGTCAAACATTGGTTGGGACTTGAACTGTCACCTGGGTAATTTGGTCTCATCATGTTTGTGACTAGGTTTGACGAACAGGTGGACCGATGGATGAACAGGTGTGGATGGATGTAAATTTGAATGTATGGATGCTTGGATTAATATATGGATGGACGGATTTATAGATGAACGTAAGGGTGGCTGGATAGATGGCATGATAGATGGATGAATGGATTGATTGATAAATGCTCGAATGTATAGATGAATGTATGGATAGTTCGATGGATGGAATGATGAATGTATGGATGGTTGGAGAACTGACTGGATGGATCGATGGGTGGATGGATGGATTGATGGATTAATTGCTCTTGAAGTCATAAATATCATACTGAAGTGAGGTTTGATGACACCGGGTGGCTTGTTTGCGCTTAATATATACGTTAATGCAATGTTTTACATTTTAATTGATTTGGTTTTTAAAAAAAGATTCTCTCTCAATCAAAATGTTTTACGTAATAAGATGAAAATGAATAAGTGTAATGTAACCAAAAGACATTTACATTTTTTTAGATCAAGAAAATAATCTTATCTCATCTCATCTTATCTTATCTTGTTAATGACTGATCATGGATGGGGATCCGGGTGGTAAAAATATATAGCCAAACGGGTGCGCGGATAAGTTAATGGATGGATAAATAGATGGATATGCAAATGGATGGATGCAGGGGTGTAGGAAGGGAGGGGGACAATGAGACATTCTCTTGTAGAAACATTTGATCAAGTGTTAAGCTATTGACAGTGGCGGAGGGGTATGTTATCCCCAGGAGGCACACGTTTAATCTTTATGGAAAAAGGGGGGGGGGCGTTTCCGACCCACTGCAGAGTTTCATAGAAGAGCAGCGGTAAAAATATTGGCACGCCCCGGATTCCATTTGCCTTAGCTGCCCCAATGAATTGATGGGTGGATGGCTGATGGAGATATTGATGAATGACCGGATGTGGATGTATGCGCCAATGAATTGATGGGTGGATGGCTGATGGAGATATTGATGAATGACCGGATGTGGATGTATGCGCCAATGAATTGATGGGTGGATGGCTGATGGAGATATTGATGAATGACTGGATGTGGATGTATGCACCAATGAATGGATGGGTGCATGGCTGATGGAGATATTGATGAATGACTGGATGTGGATGTATGCGTTTAAGCATTGATGGAGGGAAGAACGGATTTATTTGTGGATGGATCGATGGATATGACATAAAAGTGATATCCACCATTTACCTGCCAGTGTAAAATTGTGTTTGGCATTGACATGTTCCTCTTGGCCTCGGTGACGTCAAGCAGCAGAAGGGTGTAAAGTTTACCTGGGGAACAATTGGTAAAACTCTGACCATCTCTCCACTTACGTATCACTGATAGTTAACCCTTACGTGACAATCATAGTTAACCCATTGATGTCATTTATAGTTAGCCCTTACGTGAAAATCATAGTTAACCCATTGATGTCATTTATAGTTAGGCCTTACGTGACAGTTATAGTTAAACTGAAACGTGTATTTTGGAATGCTCAACGAGACATATCTTTATATATTATTCAGTTGGTAATAATAACACGTACGCATAGACTTTATAAGGACTACAGCTGGGGACCAGCTTATTCTCCAGAATTAAAAACCCCAGCCCTTGCGATGGTGTCCTTCACAAAACCACACCATCGCCTCTTTGAGAAGGACGAATGTCAACAACAAAAAATATTGGCTACACGTTTTAAAGAAGATAATTATGTAGCTCCCCCATGCTCATCCTCACCTTGTGGAAATGTTACAATCCTCATCTCCATGGGCAGCAGCTGGACATAGGGGGCACTCCGTGTGTGGAGGGGCATGATAGGGTTTTCAGCAAGGGGGTCGACCCTTACCTCCACCATACTGAAAACAGCAGAATGGTTTTTACATTTTTGAAACGACATCCAATAGCTAAGCACTTGATCAAATGTTTCCCATTGTTAAAAATTATTTTGCCTAAGTTTTCACTTACGTTTCAAGACAGCGTTAGTTTCAATTACTTAACCTAATAATTTATTATTTTTAAAGGGTAATAAGGGGAGAGACTGCAATCAGGTTAGGTAAAAGGAAATGAGCAAAACAAAGTATGGGAAACCCCGAAAAAAGGACGCTATAAAACAACGAACTTATCGGCAAGATGCCTCCTTCCTCAGTCAAACAGCAGTACAAATAATAGAAAATAAAATGTGCTCTTGGATACTACATTGCAGTTAAGTGTTTATTTTTATTTTGCATTGGTGTTTCTGTTTTTATTTCGCTGAAGAAGGCTTCTTGCCGACACGTACGTGGTTTTGAAGTGTTCCCCCCTCCCCCCACCCAACCACCCCAACTTTTCCATTACCCTGTTTCCATCTTTAAAAAAACGTTTGGAATGAATACAATAACAAAATTTTGGTCTGAAATAAAATGACCGATTTCAATGTTCTTGTTTACAATGCAGCGCCAGTATAGCATTATTTTAACTCACTCTTCCATGTTATGCTTGCAGCATGAATCGAAGTGAGCCTCCGGACTGTGGTAGGTCACCTTGACGTCCATCTCGAGGCCCGTGAGGAATGTGCCCCTGTAGTCCGTCCAACTGTTGCTGGGTGTCAGAGAGTAGCCCATGGCAACCAGCGCAGTCAGCACCTCTGTGGATGGAGAGCCGGGACAGTAACAAAATGTCAACATTCCCCCCCCCACCCACACCTCCTCTCAAACTTACAACTATAAAGTATGTTGTATTACTAGTATTACTTCGCAGTGGAAAATATTCCAGAAATATTCTTTGATTTAAACGGAAAGTCTTGCTAATTTTGTATCCTGGATACGCATTGGTACACAAGGACGTAATGGTACACAAGACATATTGGTACGCAAGACGCGTATATAAACACTGCAAGTTATTCAATGTGCCGACGTAGCTCCGTGTCAATTGAGGGGGCCCAGGCCCAGGGCAAATATAATTATTCCATTCATTTAGTCCTCATGCTCAGACTGGAGCAGCACGTCATTGCGGTCAAGTCTATGGTCTACTGAATGACAACATTACCTTTGTCCTTGGCCACCAGATACGGGCAGTTGTTGTACATGTTTCTGTCCAGGAAGTGCTGGATGCCATAGGCGTCCGTTGTAACCGCCAAATAGCCGATCCCCACCGGACCTTTCAGCGTAAAGATAAAAATGGTTTTCGTGAGCATTAAAACAGAAGCTTTTCATTTAAATCAAGACTGTTTACTTGTGTAACTACGATTTTAGCAGAGAATTAAAGTAATAATGACTTTTATTTTAAAAACCATAAAGGAATAACTAACTATTGTTAAAAAATATTATTAATTGTATATTAAGACTTTTTCCCCCACTAATTTTTTTCTCAGGTTTCGGTAATTAGTGAAAATATTTTGAATATTTGTTTAATTTTAAACTGACATATTTGTTTGGTTAAATATACAATAATTTAGGTTTGAACGTAAAGGAAAGAAACACCTCTAAACATACATTTAATCAATTTTAATTTTTAATCATCAAAGTAAAATTTGTTTACAAAATTAATGATTGCCATTGGCTGACGACAGGACTCAATGAGCTTGCGAGTCTGTCACACAGGCTGTTTTTTTTAAGCAGTAATTTTATTTGAGGACCGTGAAAACATACCATCCAGGCTATTGTCCGAGATGAACTTGTCCAGGTAGTAGACACCGCCAGCGTCCACAATAGTCTGGACAATCTTGGTGGCCACGTCGGCCGTGTTGGAGATTGTGCCGTTTTGTCTGAAGAGGGCGTACACCAGGGTGTTTCTTTTATCATACATGGGGCTCAGGGGTCCCTTGTGGGGGTACAATTCCTGCGTGGACATTTTAGAGTTGATGAAACCAGAGAGCAGATACAGCACACTAACGTGTTGGCATGCACTGAAAAAAGGGAGTTATGAAATCCTGGATAGTCGGGCGTTCTGACTGGTGTAACTAAAATGCCGTGGAGCACAAAGCTGGAACCACATGAATTACGTCTCTGGCTTCTTTTGTGGATAAATATCAGTGCAATATGTTTGAACTGCGAGATGCTCGAATTCCAAAACTCTATGACTTCAAATGTCCTCAAATACACTCAAGGTTTACAAGCCTCACATCCCTCAAACGCACTGCCGCCAAAGCTGCAGACCCACTGTACTACTAATTCTAATTTCTAAGAAGACAATTCTTTTACTGCCCTGTCGGATACTAATTTTCAGATAAGTGCTATTTTTTTTCCTTTTGTTTTTTTCTGTTGTTTGTTCGCTGACGAAGGCTTCCTGGCGACACATTCATTGTTGTGTTGTGTTTCTTTTTCAGGTTTAACCTTACTTTGATTTACTCATTTCATCTATTTCTAATTTTCAACGAACATCCCAGAACTCAATGTACTGCTAATTTTAATTTCCAACGAGAATCTCGTGTTACCAAAAACCTGCTACTTTTAATTTTCAGAAAATATCCCAGGCATTCAATGCCCCTCAACCCAACTCTAACTTCCAACAAACATCACATATACTCATTGTCCCCCTAACTCTAACTTTCAAGAAAAGTCCCAGGTACTCCTTGTCCCCAAAACTCTAACTTCTAGCAAACATCCCAAACTTCCAACAAACATCCAAGGTACTATCAGTCCCCCTCATTCTAACTTCCAACAAACATCCCAAGTACTCACAGTACACCTATATCTAACTTTCAACAAAGTTAGACGTACTCACTTTCCCTCTAAATTCCAAAAACCTCCCAGGTTCTCACTGTCCCCCAAACTCTAATTTCCAACAAACATTCGAGTTACTTCCCTAACTCTAACTTCAAAAAACATCCCAGGTACTCACAGTCCCCCTAACTCTAACTTCCAAGAGAAAAATCCCAGGTACTCATTGTCCCCTTATCTCTGACTTCCAACAAACATCCCAAACTTCCAACAAACATCCAAGGTACTTAATGTTCCCCTAACTATAACTTTAAACAAATATCCCAGGTACTCAATTTTCCCGGAACTCTAACTTCCAACAAACATCCCAGACATTCACTTTCCCCCGAATCTCTAGCTTCCAACAAACACCACAGGTACACACTGTCCCCCAAACTCTAACTTTAAACAAACTTTCGAGGTACTCAATGTCCCTCTAACTCTAACTTCCAACAAACATCTCAAACTTCCAACAAGCACGCCGGGTGCTCACTGCTCCACGAACTCTAACTTCCAACAAACACGCCAGGTACTCAGTGCCCCCCACCCAAACTCTAATTTCCAACAAACATCCCAAGTACTCACAGTCCCAGAGGCGGAGTCCCCCGTGTTGATGTTGACCCACAGCCCCCTCAGCCTCAGGTACCCCGAGTCGTAGGCCACCACGGTGTACAGCTGACCCGGCACGTTCGCGAAGGTGATGCTCGGCCGGTGGCTCAGTGTCCACATGTCCGTGTAGATGGTGTGCGTGTTGTCCAGGTCAATGGACATGGTGAACGCCGGAACGTCAAACTTGTGTCCGCACGCCACGTAGGAGCCTGGTCATTCAAAACAAGAGCATTGTATCATTATATAGTATCATTATATTGTATCATTATTTTGTATCATAATTATATCATTGTGGTATGATCGTGCATCAGTATTGTGTCATTGTGTATCATTGTGTATCATTATTGTATAATTATTGTATCACTATTTTATCATGATGCTGTGTGTGCCGCGAGAGGATTCTGCGTGTGCCGCGAGATGAAGCCGTGTGTGCCGCAAGAGGATGCCATGCGTGCCGTGACATGATGCTACGCGTGCCGCGAGAAGATTCTACGCGTGCCACACGATGATGCTGTGTGTGTCGCGTAAAAATGCCCAGAGCATAAGTTGGCGTGTACATACGATACACTCGTCTTTCTACAACAGGGACTTGTACGTTAGCTTAATCCCAAGCAACAGAGCACTGTGAAACTGAAGTGTGTTGGGTACGGACAGCTAATGTGGCATGGAGCAATTACAGTGTGTAATCTGATACCTTTTGGCACCACACAGCATGATCACTCTCAACTGAATTATGTTCTTTATTAGTTGTACTGGCTAGTGTCAGTTTTTACGTTTGAAATCTCAACTTCAATGGTTCATTATGTTTTTACTTGTGGTGTGCCGCGGAATTATGGAAAGGCCTTCCATGTGCCGCGGAATAGTGGAAAGGCCTTGGGTGTGCCGCGGAATTATGGAAAGGCCTTGGGTGTGCCGCGGAATTATGGAAAGGCCTTGGGTGTGCCGCGGAATTATGGAAAGGCCTTGGGTGTGCCGCGGAATTATGGAAAGGCCTTCCGTGTGCCGTGAGATAGTGGAAAGGCCTTGGGTGTGTCGCGGGATTATGGAAAGGCCTTAGGTGGGCCGTGCGTTATCAAGTGCCGCGGAGTTATGGAGAGGCCTTGGGTGTGCCGCGGAATTATGGAGAGGCCTTGGGTGTGCCGCGGAATTATGGAAAGGCCTTGGGTGTGCCGCGGAATTATGGAAAGGCCTTCCGTGTGCCGTGAAATAGTGGAAAGGCCTTGGGTGTGTCGCGGAATTATGGAAAGGCCTTAGGTGTGCCGTGCGTTATCAAAGGATTTCAGAATTTTTATCGAGATGATATCAGTCATTTGTGATGAAATAGTTTTAGTTTTAATATTTTTTTTTAAATCTATTTTAAAATTTGAACATGAGCCCCACCTGCCGGAGCGTTATAGCGAATCCTGAGGAACTGCTCAATCATTGACGTGTTGAAGTCGCTGCGTCTCAGCATCCGCGATGAGATGTTGGTGTTGCCGACATCCGGGTTGAAACAGTAGAAGTCGAGCTTGTCTGAAAAGGTAAATATCAGTGTAATTAAAATATGGGGAACAAAAATAATCTCCTGATCTGCCAATGTCGCCGTGAGATAACCGTACCACTAGATGGCGTTGACATCCCATACATAATAATCCGCCCATGAATAGAGAAAGAGAGAGACATAGTGACAGTGAGCAGACAGAGAGAGAATTTAAGAGAGAGAGAGAGAGAGAGAGAGAGACTGAGACAGAAAGAGAATAGAGCTGGAGAGAGAGAGAGAAACTGAGACAGAAAGAGAATAGAGCTGGAGAGAGAGAGAGAGATTGTAACCTATCAGCTGGCCAAAATGCCTTAAAACTAGTGGATTAATTAGACACGAACAATGTGTGTCAATATAAAAATATAAGTTAAGCTTTACTAATAATTGTACATAATGAGCAAGTATACGTTTAAAACTAGTTGCTTTGGCCTTGGCGTTACCATTCATTTAAATCTCTTCCAAATACGGTATAAAAAAATTGTGTGTGTGTTTTTTGTGTTAAATCAATGCAGTTTATCTAGTTTTAAGCAAATGAAGAGAGATAAATCCTTATAGTCGTAATGCAGTGTAAGTATGTTTTTTTTTTCTTTTGAATGATGTTGTGGTTTGGGGGGGGGGGTTCACATGATGCAGATCAGGCACAACTGATTAAGTGAGCAGCATCTTACTTGGTCCATTGGGGCATTTACTGGAATAGCCCGATCCAAACCAGAAGTCGTCCCGGACAAACTCATTCCTGACGCCCACCAGGCACGCCGTGTCGTTGCCTTGGTTACAGGGCGTGGTGTGGCCAGATACTGGAGAAAACAGAATATTACAAGTTAACTCTTTTCCCGTTAAAAAAAAAATTAGCTACAGCGATTAAACTGTAACGTTTGGTAACCAATGCAACTAAACTAGCTTTTTGTAACTGGTACAGCAGTAACTTTGGAAGACTGATACAACAGTAACAGTGTGGTGACCGGTACAATAGTAGCTTTGAGTGACCAGTACAACAGTAACTTTGGGTGACCAGTACAATAGTAACTTTGAGTGACCAGTACAACAGTAGCTTTGGGTGACAAGTCACATTTTGGTGACCTGTGTAAAAATAACTTTTGGTGATAGGGACAGTTTGCTAAAACTTTGTTACAAACACTGCTAAAACTTTGTTACAAACACTGCTAAAACTTTGTTACAAACACTGCTAAAACCTTGTTACAAACACTGCTGAAACTTTGTTACGAACACTGCTAAAACTTTGTTACAAACACTGCTAAAACTTTGTTGCAAACACTGCTAAAACTTTGTTACAAACACTGCTAAAACTTTGTTACGAACACTGCTAAAACTTTGTTACAAACACTGCTAAAACTTTGTTACAAACACTGCTAAAAGTTTGTTACAAACACTGCTAAAACTTTGTTACAAACACTGCTAAAACTTTGTTACAAACACTGCTAAAACTTTGTTACAAACACTGCTAAAACTTTGTTACAAACACTGCAAAAACTTTGTTACAAACACTGCTAAAACTTTGGTACAAACACTGCTAAAACTTTGCTACAAACACTGCTAAAACTTTGTTACAAACACTGCTAAAACTTTGTTACAAACACTGCTAACACTTTGTTACAAACACTGCTAACACTTTGTTACGAACACTGCTAAAACTTTGTTACAAACACTGCTAAAACTTTGTTACAAACACTGCTTAAACTTTGTTACAGACACTGCTAAATAGCCTAAACATGTGAGCTTATGAAAATACTTCTAAACACTGCTAAAACTTTGTTGCAAACACTGCTAAAACTTTGTTACAAACACTGCTAAAACTTTGTTACGAACACTGCTAAAACTTTGTTACAAACACTGCTAAAACTTTGTTACAAACACTGCTAAAACTTTGTTACAAACACTGCTAAAACTTTGTTACAAACACTGCTAAAACTTTGTTACAAACACTGCTAAAACTTTGTTACGAACACTGCAAAAACTTTGTTACAAACACTGCTAAAACTTTGTTACAAACACTGCTAAAACTTTGCTACAAACACTGCTAAAACTTTGTTACAAACACTGCTAAAACTTTGTTACAAACACTGCTAAAACTTTGTTACAAACACTGCTAAAACTTTGTTACGAACACTGCTAAAACTTTGTTACAAACACTGCTAAAACTTTGTTACAAACACTGCTTAAACTTTGTTACAGACACTGCTAAATAGCCTAAACATGTGAGCTTATGAAAATACTTCTAAAAGATCTTTCTTTTTAGGAGGGGTAGACTACTCTCTCGACATTCTATCCTGGTTTTGCGCAGCACAAACAATTCGACTATCCGGAGATCGGTTATTGGAAGTTCGGTTATCTGGATCCAGATATGTACGAAGGTAATGGGAAGAGAAGATCATCACGATGGTTTCTGGAGTCAGATTAAATGCGATTTCAATGCAAAAACAAACCAACAAACAAAGAAGAAGCTGAGATTTATTTGATGTTTGGGATCAAATCTTTTACTTTTTAAAACAAACCCACAATGTTTTATTTGAAAAACGGATTTTTCTTTCATTAACGTATTGTTTTAATATATTATCCGGATTGTTTTTTAAGTACCCGGACAATCTGTTGTTGACAATGGATGCTGTGTGTCCCAGACTGTACGAAATCAAAAAAAAAAAAAGGCCCACCACTCAAAGAACGGAGTTGGGGGGGGCCCCCCCCCACAAAAACGGGGGGGGGGGGGGGGGGGGGCGAGGATACCGTAGTGGTCGTCGTGCTGTGGCTTTAGGCTAAATTCACCTCATTACTTTCTTGGGGTGTACACAACTAAACACAACATTAACATATATCGCAAAAAAAGTAATATGTCAAACACATACAATGCACCATCTCTTTGTATGTCCCCTTTTTTCCGTCATGAACGAGCACGCAGGGTCCTACACCTACCATGTCTTGGTGACATTGTAAAACATATGATCTTATTGTATAAAATATTAATGGACGATTTAAAAAAAAAAAATTAGACTTTCAAATAAAATAACTTACCGAAATTCGGTATTGTCGAAATCAGGAAGATTCCTAGGGCACAGAGATGCTGCAGTTGACCCATTCTCAACGCCACTCTTTCTGTCTTCCCTTGCTATCAGAAACAACCCAAAAACTGTCAACAGATATTTTTTTTCCCTCCTCCAACAGCTGTAGCAACTCTCGCTCAGTCCGCAGGATATGTCACATACCCGCTACCCGGTCTCAATCTCGCATTGCAAAGCACCGACAAGTCCCCACCCTACCATTTACCCCCCTCCTCTACAACCACCAACTTCTTTAGGTTTTTTAAACTGTTGTAACCTCCACCCCCTCCCCCCATTTCTCATGCGCATAAAATCCCCAATAGATAAGGACCCCCCCCCCACCCATTAGACTTATGGCCCTTTACTATACAGAAGTAGACACACCCCCCCCTACCATTTCCCCCCCTCCTCTCCAACCACCAACTTCTTTAGGTTTTTTAAACTGTTGTAACCTCCCCCCCCTCCCCCCATTTCTCATGCGCATAAAATCCCCAATAGATAAGGACCCCCCCCCCCACCCATTAGACTTATGGCCCTTTACTATACAGAAGTAGACACGCGTCACGCATTGGAAAAATCAGGGATTCTTAAAATAATAATAACAGGGACACGAAAAGTATGCCCAGTAGATCTACAAAAATAACGTATTGTCTTAGAGCAGTGGTTCTCAACCTTCCTAATGTCGCGACCCTTTAGTACAGCTCCTCATGTTGTTGTGACCCCCAAACCATACATTATCTTCTTTGCTACTTCATCAATATGTTTTCCGATGGTCTTAGGTGACCCCTGTGTAAGGGTCATTCGACTCCCAAAAGGGGTCGCGACCCACAGGTTTGAGAACCACTGTCTTAGAGGGGAGCCGGTTTCGTCTCTATTATTTCTAGAACTCATTTTTGTACAAGGTTTTCATTTTTCATATTGTAAATAAACCTAACATTTCATTTTGACTTATGTCAATTATATTTTATTTAAGTCTTAAGATTCATTTGAGACAGGTACAAGGGTCGCACCATTTTGGACTCTTTAAGCAAGGGAATGGAGCTCAGATATTTTTTGACCATATGACATGTCGTATGTGTGAGGGAAGGGGGAGGGGGTGATAAAAGCCGTTCAAAATAGCGTGACGTCATTGTGATGGATGACCCAGAAGTACATCATAGGGATGGATGGCCCATAATTTATAGATCTGATTTCAGAATAAGGACTATTTAAGCTTAGCATTAATATTATAGAGCCCCATGGAGGAACCATTTGTTACTATTTCATGTCTCATCCAATTTTACGATTTCATGTTACAACCCAATTTTACGATTTCATGTTACAACACAATTTTACAATCTTATTCCCCCCCCCCCAATGTTAAGATTTCGTGTTACAACACAATGTTACAATTTTATACTTCAATACAATGTTACAATTTTATGTCTCATCCCAATGTTACAATTGTATGTCTCATCCCAATGTTACAATTGTATGTCTCATCCCAATGTTACAATTGTATGTCTCATCCCAATTTTACAATTGTATGTCTCATCCCAATGTTACAATTGTATGTCTCATCCCAATGTTACAATTGTATGTCTCATCCCAATGTTACAATTGTATGTCTCATCCCAATGTTACAATTGTATGTCTCATCCCAATGTTAAGAGTTTTATGCTTCATCCCAATGTTACAATTTTATACTTCAATACAATGTTACAATTTTATGTCTCATCCCAATGTTACAATTGTATGTCTCATCCCAATGTTACAATTTGATGTCTCATCCCAATGTTACAATTTTATGTCTCATCCCAATGTTAAGAGTTTTATGCTTCATCCCAATGTTACAATTGTATGTTACAACAAGATGTTACGTTTTCATGTTACAACACAATGTTATGGTTTTATGTTTCAACACAATGTCACGATGCTATCTTCATTGTGCTCTTGCCTTCACTCTACAGATAAAACTCTGCTTCATCCACAAAATCTGACCTTACGATTCGGGATCAAATTCAATTTAGTTTAGAATCCTTCTCCAATGCGTTTATGCGCAAAACACCCAGTGCCTCTGATGCCCGTGTACACAGCAGTGTCGTGGACCCTAGTGTACCACCTTTACCACCACCCCCACACTCCCAAAAGCCTCAAACATAAGGCGAAATCTGAACGTGACTCTTGACCCCTACCCGTCACACGCCACTGATTTCGAACCTTGAATATATATTTTGGATGCACCAACCCCTTCGCCTGCCCTTGCAAAGGTATAACTATCACCACTTCGACCATAAAATTTGACCTTTACTTTGGGTCTTGTTTGTGAAGTAATTTGAGCATAGAAGCCGATATGCCGGGCATTTGCCGGGTTAGCATTCGGAGCAAAGGAACTTCTACAAACTTATAATGAACATTAAATTTAAGCGCCGTGTACAAAAAAAAAGCTAAAGTAAAAATGATGATAATAAATCTGTCTCCTATTAAAACACATTTATAATAACTTTTCATAAACCTTTCATTCCCCGATAGGATCATGATCCCGGTTGGATCCCGATCCCGGTGGGATTCCGATCCTGGTGGGATACCCGTCCCGGTGGAATACCAATCCCAGAGGGATCCCGATACCGTCGTTACTCCGATCCCGACCCTGGTGGGTTCCGATCCCGGTTGATCCCGAACCCCGTTGATCCCGATCCCGGTTGGATCCCGAAACCGGTGGGATCCTAATCCCGATTGGATCACGATCCCGGTAGTATTACGATTCTTGTGAGATCCCAGTTTATGAAAATAACCATTCTTGTAACAATTTCCTTGTAATATATTTCCCAACATATCAAGATTTTTGATCAACAGCAAAGAAACTCTTCAGCTCACTTAACCAATCAGAGCATAAAAATAATTCTATTGAAAAAATGTTTTTCATTGAAAAAAAAAAAGTATACATTTTATTAATTTTTTTTTAAAAGTTGTCATATAAAGAGACTTGCACACATGTGCATTTTTGAAATTGTTGAGAGTGCACGGGTGTGGGGAAGGCTGGGATGCACTTGCCCCAAGCTTCCTTCATTTTAAGGTTAAATTTTACATTCCCTTAATATTATTACTTGAAACTACTAGAAACTATGACCCGGTGTTACCGGGGTAATTGTGGAAGGCATATTGCGATAAATGTAGGCCTGCTATTGCGCAGTCTTAACATCTAAAAATCATTTTTTTACGTATGTAACTGAATCGGTTTTTTACTTATATGTAATGGAATCAGTTTTTTCCGTATATAATTGAATCGAATTTTGCTTATTTAAGTGAATCGTTTTTTACGTATGAAACTAATCGGGTTTTTACGTATGTAACTGAATCGGGTTTTTTACATATGTAACTGAATCGGGTTTTGATCTATGCTATCCTTAAAACGAAGCATAATTACTAAATTTTTCCACGCCCTTGAAATTGGAGGATGACCGAATTTCGGTTTCGGTTTCGGCGCCGAAAATTGCCATTTGATCCCTTTCGGCGTGGTTTCGGTTTTGGCTGAATCAGAAAAGTTAAACTTCAGTTTATTTTCGGTTTTGTCAGAAAGTGATTGAGGTTTTCGCCCATTCTACTAGAACTCAGACTGTCACTCTCTCTCTGTCGGCCGGCAGTCTGAAAGTCATTATTGCTGGAAGCCTTGCTGTCATCGCATGATGTATGACTTATCTTCGTTGCTCATAGCTGCATGATGACCTACTTGTCCAATATTTACAAAATAAAATTTAAATTCGGCTTAGGCAAAGTTGATAGTTTTAAGGGGGAAAAACTAAGGGAATTGCATTAATTATCTAATTTTTTTTTTGCTTCAAAATTAAATTTGTGAACCTTAGGTTTATTCCATTCATTCATTTGTTTGATTTCTTATTGTCATGCTCATGCATGTTGTCGAAACAAAGGTGAATAGTGTTGTGAAAAAAATCCTAGGGAATGGTAACATTTTTATTATTATTTTTGCTTTAAATTTTTGTTTAAATACAGACTAGGGAAAATTTAGGCTTAATCATTTCGTTCATCCATCGAAATTCATCATTATCATGCCGCAAGACTTTGTCAATGACGAAAAAAAATGTTAAAATATTCCACAAAGTTAGTCACGTATATGGACACACATTTAAAGAAAGAGAATAATGAACAATCTGTGTCAAATCTAAAATTAGCAGATCAATGATAATTGCGGATAAACGAAAAAATTAAATGTCGACCTATAAGTCCCCGTGTTTTAATGAAACTTTATGGGTTAACGCAGGGGTCGCCAAACTTTTTTCACGGCGGGCCCGATAACGGAGAAAAAAAAAGGACGAGCGCGGGCCTGATAGTCCTTTTGTACAATACTTTCAAGCCAGAATGAAAACACTAGGGGGGGGGGGGGAAAAACTAAGTTTTAGTATTCAATGTTAATCATGGGTGAGTGGCGTGAAATCTAGGCCTACAAAAAAAAAAACAAAAAAAAAAAAAAAAAAAAAAAAGACAACCAGCACATTTATTTTCTGAAAAACATTACAAAAGAAGGCGACGTTAGAAAAAAGATTGTCTACATCAGACCTAGTGCGCACATATTCCAATACCACAAACCAAGCAGCAATAGAAAAAAAATGGTTAGTGAGATTTATAAAACTGGTTTTGGGCTTTCTAGATTTCATCAATGTTTGGTTTGGAATTGCCGCATCCAATAAGGAGAATTGTTTTCAAATGTTCATCAGTCACTCTCGTTCTTTGTGTTGACTTCACACACTCCATTTTTTTGAAAATGTTAGCTCACAGACATAATAGGGGCCAAAATGATCAATAAATTGATCGTGGGCCCTTTATATATAGAAGAAGAAGAAGTTGTTCCAAACACTGATGCCATAAGAGCGGCAAATTTCTTCAATCAGGTTAGCAGCGGTAAAATTCAAAAACTTTTTCCCTCTCTGTGCGTCCGTCATCTACTTTTAGTAGTAAACTTTTTATGACGCCAGTTTAACTCGATCCCACTAGGCGCTGCGATTTGAGTAGATTTGATGAAGGCATTTTGCTGAAACGTTTACATTTTGTATTTTGTAAAAATCATCATTCAAGCTGAACATTTATTGCTTTATTGACACACCTAGTCTATTTCTAAATAATATACTTTAAAGCTTTATCGAAGTTTGACCCTCTTATGATTGGCATTACTTTGTTTTGTCTCATTTAAGTTGTTGC